TGACGCGTTACCGACTTAACTATACAGCCCTTTTCTCATATTGACACAACTCCAAATGTGGAGTAGTATAGTGATAGGTAATAAAGTGACCCAAAGTATAGAAATGTAGTGGACAATAATTGTATATTGTGTATAATAGGTCGTGCCCGTTTTGTCAATTACTCAAGTAACAGTTTAATAACAATTTTGAGCTATGTATACGAATCAATTTTTAACAATTAGATATAAATTGATACACAACAGGGATGCGTAATTACAAGAATGACAAGGTCTGGAAAAAAAAGAAAAGAATATCAGAAAAGCAAGTAACACTTTTGTACTGTTAAAAATATGCTAAGGCGTTAAGAAATGAACAGCGACAGGCTGTCAACAGCCCATCGAAACTTGGTGGAATTTGTACTCCCTATGTCATAGATAGGATGCATATTTAACCAATGGCTGACATATTAATAGCAAGACTCCAGTGGGTGCACGTTTAGTACAAAGAACTCTGTCAACATACAAAATTCATATACATAAATTTTGTATATTAAAATAACTAACGAAGATTGTAATTAGTTATTAGCTTATTATTATTAATTATTGCTAGTATCTGATTGACAAAATAAATTCTGCCCAGCGAATTAATTGGTACAATTAATTTTCCGACCGGTCCAGTAGTTAACCTTAATATCAAAATATAACGGAAATTCAGATTTAAAAATATATATAGTTTCATGATGTATGAAAGAGATGGTTTTTATATTATAACCCCTCCCCAAAAAAAAAAAAAAATTTGTAAAATACGACATGGTCGTTTGTAGATTAAAAGAGGAATCGAGTTTTGTACAATTTTGTGTATAACATAAGGAATTTATCAACGAAACATTTTATTATAAGCAATTATTAAAAATTATTTTTTTTTTATTATGATACTATTTTTTTCATTTTTTTTATTATTATTTATATAATCTTTCTAGTCCCTTATTACGATAAGGGTCTAAGAAGTTTTAGGAAGGGGAAAATAAGTTTTTCACAATATTTTGTTCTATTTCTCCTAATTTTTATGATAAATTATTTATTATTTAAGATTCCTGTTTGGATTTCCTTCGGGTTATTTATAACTAGTGAATTTGGGGCTAAAATAATAATGCTTGATAATAAAATAATGAAAAGTGCGACTTTAACACATTATAAATATTCTGTAACCCCAATTGGGTCAAATTGGATAGGAGCCACAAATCAATGTAAAATATGTATTTACAGAAGTCTAAAATATTGATTTAATGAAAATGTCTAGACAGTGCATGACTAATGCCTACAAAAACTAAAGGCTAACATTATATATTTTTTGATAAATTTTTATTTAACGAATTCTATTTTTTAAATATATGTAGGTAAGTCACGCTTAAAATTCATTTAATAAAATATGACAATAAATTTTTTTATATTCGACAAGCGCAGTTTTTTTTTACTTAAAAAAAATAAGCACATACTACTAAAAGGGAAAAAAATAAAATATAGATTTCACAGTGAAATCAAGTAATATACACTAATTAAAAAGTTTAAATTAAAAATTGAACTATTCTACAAGTATACTTTTACGTCAGCAATTATAACTTAATAGAATAAGTTATTGGAGGTAATCGATGCACAAGGTCTATTTGTTGACAAGAATCATTTGTAATTGACATAAACTTGCTGTTCAAATGGAACACCGAAGGCGTTTGATACAGTTTGTTAATAATTCTTAAATCCATATATGTAATTACGAAACAACGAGAATTCCTTAAAACAAACAATTAATAAGTGTACCGTGGAAAGGTGTAAAGAAATTCGTGTGTCAATTATTTATGTTTTTACTTGAGTGCAAGAGGACATCGCGAAAGACGCTCGTTCTTGAATGTCACATCACGCAGATTGAGAATTTTGTTCAATTAATAGAACTTTAAACAGTTTATCAAATTATAATTTAATTTGTGGACTATGAATTATTTATACAACTGTTTATACCAAAAAATAATTAAAAATTAGTTATTTAAATTATTATAATAATATAAAAGGTTAGTTACAACTCAAACGTAGCATAGTTGGAACAAGTATACGTGATATCCGAGAGTGATTAAAATCACTATCATAAAAAACGCTTCGATCCAAATCTGTTAATCATGTTTAATTTTTTGTATTATAAGCAGTAAATATTAGAATATTGATGTATTAATATTAATATTAATGAATTAGAAACAGTAAACAAAATCGAAATATTTTATATCGTTTTCAAGTCTTGCTTTAAAGTGGTATTCAGAACTTTAATTACTAATTTAGTTTATGTAATGAAGACATTTGTTGAGTACCTTTGCTTTGTTATCAATTTTATAAAGAGTTATTCTTGATTTCTCTTAAAATAGTATTTATGTTAAGAAAATTATTTTGGGAATTTTTTAATTTTATATAATTCTGGGTTTATTAATTATTAAGCTTTTATTATAAATCATCCCATAAGCCTTATTTTAAGTGGAAACTTACATATTTAACTGGCTAATAAAATAATAAATTATATAATTAAAAAAAAATTATAATATCGTTTTAATTTTAAATAATAAATTATTTACTTAAGAAAATAACTGGTCGAAAAAACTTTTTATAGAGTTATTCGGAAGTTATTGATAATTTAAAATATAGAGTGAAGAGAGAACATGGCAAATTAATACGTAATATTAAAAAAAACTTAACCTACACCACACAGCACTATATATTTAAAATAGTTATAACATACCAAATAATAGGTCAAAAACTGTTATCAACCAATCATTTTCTTAATTAGATCATTTTTTATTTTATAAGCTAGTTAAATATGTATGTTTTTATTAAAGAAAAAATTGACACCCTTGTAACATATAAGGGTTATATATAAAAAATACTCCGTGATTGATAAACTGAATGTAGCTAAAAGAAGAAATAATTATCAATTATAAATTTATTTATTGATTAAATAAGTGGTTTATGATAAAATAATCACCATATAATATAATTGCATTCACACATTTCAGATCTGGCATTTTTATTTTAGTAATAAACTTCATTTGTGGGTCTATTCAAAGCTTCGAAGTCCATCGGGACATACTTCACATCCCATACGCCAGTACTGATAAATTTGTCAAGTTATAGTATCGGTTATTTTTAACTTTTTTAAGTGTACTATTAAAACATAATTGAGCCCTAAGAATTGAGTAATTTCTTTTCAAATTTTGGTGTAATTAAGATAAAATAACTCTGAATCATATGTCTGGTATATACCAGACATATAATCATTACAGGGTAATGATGGACATAATCAAACCATTTGTTTAAAATATCAGATAAATATTATGAATTTTACTAATTTTTTCACGATAATTTGTATTTAAAATCGTACTATTAGATGTATTTTTTGGTCGTCAGACAATGTTTACGAGTATATCATTCGATTATAATTATTTCTAAGCACTATTCCGTACAGTATTCTTATTATCATTGATAATATACTCTGTAAAATATTATATTTGTTTTTTAAAAAATATTTCTTATATTTTTTAATAACATAATATTATTACCATCTATTATTCTGTTTCAGGAGATATATTGACCCTATCAGTGACGGATCCAGACAGTACTTGATGGTGTACGCCCACTTTTTGACATTTTATTTACTACTAAAATTGTATTTAAAAGGATAAAATAAGCAAAAAATTGATTTTAACGTCTAAAAACTTTTCTATATTCTTTGATGAAATATATATCTTTACTCTAGGCCGGCTTTAACGTATTAAAGAGTTTAAATGTTAATGAGTCAAAAAATGCGTGTTAACTAATCCATTTTTAATATCCTTACTTTAAAAATTTTTATCGCAGTTATACGGCTAGGTCTCCAATATAATCGAACATAATTTATATGAATAAAAAAAAAAATCTGTTACTATATTTCCCTATTTATGAGTTCTATTTTTTTTTTAATTGTAATTAATAATTTTATAACTTTAGTAACGAAATAATATTTATTTAACAAGTTATATGCGTATACATATTTGTGCCTTCTGTTTTCACTTAAAACGTTAAATGAACCAGCTAAATTACTATCCGAGTTTTTTAATATAGTTGTTTGTCACCCCAGTCGTTTATTTATCTTAGCCCATACCTCAACTTATTGGATTGAGGAAATCGGATACCACAATTCGATTTGCATAATTTAATGACAGGGGAGATTTTGACATCCCGAGTGGATTTTAACTAGTTGTACGGACTTGTTGGATACAAAATTGCTTTTGTTATCAAAGCTTTACGCATAATTTTCTTTATTTTTAAGTTAAATTTCAGGAACACACTAAATTTTAGATCTATTATTTGAGATCTAATTTTTTTTTAATATATATATAATTATTGTACATTATTGATATAGTTATATGATATTTGTAACAAATATATACAAATTTAACAAAATTAAGATTATAAATTGTATTTTATAATTTAAAATACGTTGTTAATTTTACATAATATTAGGTAAGCTAATTCTTAGATGCAGTAAGCTATTTTTTTAAATAAGTTGAATTTTTTAATATTTACATACAATATACACGAAAATAACAAAAATGGCAGTAAATTTGTTAGTACATAGTCTTGTGAACCACAAATTATTGTTTTTGTGCTTTTTTATTATAGCTCGTTAAAGAAGTCAAGCTCTCTATTGGCTAAATAATGTTAATATGCCAGAAAGTGAATGTATGGTTGATATTTACTAATATTTTTGCAGTGGTGGTCTTTATAGTTATTTTTGTAACACTCAAAGGTTACCATCGACCTTTGTAGAATACACGTTACAAGTTAACATATATATTTCAAAATTGTGCTGTACACAAATACCCCCTTTTAATATTGATACATTAAACAATATTAAAACTGATTTTTTAAATATAAGTAATAAAACAAGCGCTTTTAAATAACATTTTTACGTAGTTATATGTACAACTTTGATTCGCTTTGTTTACCTTGCTAATATCGTTAAGTTTTCTTGTTTCAGTGTCACCTTTAGAGTACGCATATCCAATCCAGATAATTCTGCGACGTTAACATACTTGGTTTTATTAACGCGGTATTTGTTAGGACACAAGTAAAATTTGACAGTCCAATTTAATAAAAAGGAACTTAAACACCAATTGGAATACAAAAATATAATAAAGAATTGTTACATAAAATTGTCAAATAAAAATCACTCGCACATTCTATTGTTTTCGTCGTTGGAGCTGTTGAAAATAAGTAGTATGTACACGGATGTGGCCGCATTACTGGGGCGCACGTTCGATTTGGGCGAAAAACTATAGAAACTGTGTTGGTTTTCCACCAGATGGCGGAATGCGCATGACCAAACATGACCCGGTCGAATCTATGGGTTATCGAACACAACAAACACGGCTGACAACGATAACGTAAAAAATGTATCAAATTCGACCTTAAACAACCACAATTTTATATTTCATTATCGTTACAGTAGTCTTATACAAAAGCCCCATTTAAATTTTTTGGGTAGGCAAACTTTTTGACGGACCGCTTACACACACCAATCAAACCTTCGAAAATATTTTATTGTTGACCCTTTTTTTATGAAAATATTTGAAAGAAAATATCTAATTTAATCATACATCGTAGTAGTGAAGTAATGAAAAAGTATCACCAAAATTGAATAGTTTGAACAGCCCAACCGAAACATTAATGTAAAAAATCAAACGGGGTTTAGTATATGCAATTCTGATACACAGGCGTGTGAAACTAAAAACTAAAACATCTTGTAGATTAAAATTTAAACTTTAATTTAGTTTTTACATTAGTTTTAAAAAAATTCTTAATTATTAATAATATAATATTCATGTAAATAAAGTAATTAAAAATTTGGGTAGACAAGGACTTAAGTCCTAGCAATTTTTGAGTCCTATTTAATATCTTGTATGATATAAGTATAAGTATAGTACAAGTATGTAATATTAAACAAAAAAAAAAAAAAAAAAGAACGTTTGTTTTTTTTTCACAAATGACGATCCTGCTTTAATTGTAGGGAATTTCAAAAATTTACATTTTTAATTTAGCGTGTACATATAAAAATAAACCATCTAATCATAAATTGTGTCATATTAAAACAAATTCAAATATTAAATTTTGTATTAAATATTTTAACCAACCTTAATAAAGGCTTTTTTATACAAGACGTAAATGAATTGCATAATAAATTTAGGATAACATTCTATATTTATATTATAACACATTATGCTAACACATGAAAAAACCACACACGTAAATAAAAAATAAGTTGTATAAACTGAAAAACTATTTTAAATCCTTATAGTAAACTTTCTTTATCGAAAAAATCGTTTATTATAGGCTTATAATGCGATATCAAAAAAGATACTTGCAATGAATATTAAGTAAGAAAGACGAATACTGCACAGTATCAGCGTAAAACATTGAGTCATTGGAAAACTAAAAATTATTTTAAATACTTAAAAATAGAAAATTAGGTTCTAATTTTTAATTAAAATTTATATTTCAACATTTAAAAAATATATATATAATCTATGGTCTGTAAAGATTTTATTCTCAAATTTTAAAACCTCACAGAAGATAATATTACATTATTAATTTTATAGAAGTTATATTATTAATTAATCACTGTAATATTATTAATGTGTTTAGATTAAATATTATTAAAATAAAAGCAGGTCAATTTTTTTTTTGTTAAAGATAATTTTTAGTATTTTAACACTATTGTTATATTAAATGTAACATGCACACAAACATACAAGTCTACTTAAATGTACTTTAGCTTAATTTTGTTTAAAAAATTACATTTTTATGTAGTTAAGAAAGAAACATTAAATATTAATTCTTTCAAAATTTAATAGGGTTGTTTAATAACATTTTTCCATTTGAGACTAAATGAGACATCCCCTTTTTTCCCACTTATATTTTAGCTTCGATGCGAAGCTGAGAAAGTATTGGTTTTACTAAGATGTGTTTTTTTTTTTTTGTGTCTGTTACCACTTTTTCTCAGCTATCACCGAACCGATTTTTTTCAATGATACGTCAAAAGATCAAAAATCGTATCTAGTCGAAGACATTACCCTCAAAAATTGAAAAAAAATCCCTCGTTCCCCGTAAATGGGGGAAACCTACAAAAAAATTACAAATTTAAAAATGGCTAATTTTCAAAAAATTTTCAATTTTTTTACTAAAAACTGCCATAACTTTTTTAAAAATGAATATATCAATATTATTTTATTTTATATAGATGCATGATATCATTACCTTTCATTTGGTATATTTTTTTGTTATATCTGATCCTTTAACTGTCCACAGGGGGGGATTTAAAATGACAACTTTTTTACAAAAAATTAACTTTTTCAACTTAACTTTTGAAAATGTTCCGGAAGGTCTGACACTTTTATATATATCTTAAATTAAAGCTAATGTAATATACTTTATAATGGTAAAAAAAAATTTCGGACTTTATTTTATCTTCATGGTGAAAACAGACATTAAACTTAATAAAAAAAATACGATTTTTGTAAAAAAATTCTTTTTTATATTTTTAACTTTATAATGCTATAACTTCTCGAAAGATGTATGGATCAATATAATTCTTTTTTTTGTAGATGCATGATGTCTTTACCTATCATTTGGTATATTTTTTTTATAAATCTGACTTTTTACCTGCCTACAGGGGGGGATTCAAAATGACAACTTTTTCACAAAAAATTGACTTTTTCAACTTAAATTTTGAAAGTGTTCCGGAAAGTCTGACACTTTTATATATATCTTAAATTAAAGCTAATGTAATATACTTTTTATGAAAAAAAAAAAATTTCGGACTTTATTTTATCTTCAGGGTGAAAATGGATACCGAATGCTATTTTTGTGTGAAATTTCTCGATTTTATATTTTACATTTTTAACTTTATTATGCTATAACTTTTTGAAAAATGTATGGATCAATACAATTTTTGCATGAGAAATAATACTTTTTAATAATCCCTCTTTCATTCGATATAATTTATCTTAATCAGGATATTAATAAGAAACTAGCAGATCATGTAGCTTTTGGAATAATCCACCAATTTTTTTAAAATTAAACACTATCTAAAGATTTGCATCGAAGCGGTTTTTTTTTTTATAGTGATTTTAATCACTGTCAGATATCATTATACTTAATCCAACTATGCCACGTCACCACTGTGCCGCGACCCCCCTGTGCTGGGTTTTTTTTAATTATAAATTATTTATATATTTATAACTTAATTAATTTAAAAATAACGTTTTAATTTTACAAGAGTCTGAAACCATAAACTATGAAGTAATTTTATATTACTACATTTTTTTTATTTGTAAATATACTCGTACTAAGTCATAACATTTATCTTATTTTATCTAAGTTATTTCATTAAAGATTATTAAATTTTAAACTTGTTGCTGATAGCAACTAATTTAGATAATTTAAATTCTAACTACACTCAATCTTGTGTAATATAGTAACTTAAATTACTTGTTATTGTAATGAAATTAAGTAATTTAATTACTTATTTTTGTCAAGTAACTTATGAATAGAACCCTTAATTATGTTCGTTTTGTTAAGTTATTGCGAAAATAGTACTACAAATTTTTGAATTGTTAACTTAGTTGTTGGACAAGTATCTACTAGAGGGTATTTTTATTAATCGTTATATCAATTTGGCAACAGTATCGTCATCGTTGCTACCACCGGTTGCTAGGAACTGGGTGTACGGGTGCCTTGAACATCTCTCATTATTACATTCGGGACATTACTCCGTATGCGATTGCTAAACGACAATGACATACAGGTCTTTTCGGTCGTAATGTATACGTTGTTGAAACTACTTGGATCTTCCCCAAGTGTTCTATGCTATTTTTTAGCGCTTAGCGGTTTTCTTTTTATAAATAAATCACCCTGTAATTTGCCTGCACACCTAGTGCTTATATTCAATCTCTTTATGATTCGCCTAACCTTAATATATATAGAATTTATGATGCTGTATAATTTTACACGAACTTAAAAAAATATTGTATGTTTGAGTTTGCCAATTTATATCTGTATATTTATCATTCTTATGACACTAATAAATAAGTCTTTATTTGTTAATTTCAAATTTCAAATTTTTTTATTTTATTTGTAGTTATATTAGTTTATTTTTGTTTTAACTTATTGCACTTGGTAACAATAGTTTTAAGCAACCTCCGTGTATAATACTATAATATTTTATATTTGTTTATGTTTATTACATAGTCTCTGTTGTTGCAATTAATTTTTAATTTCTAGTAGTTTGTAAGTACACAATCAAATCCTATTTCTATACAGCTCATCTCTCATCCATTGACATCCTATCAATCATTTATCGGTAACAAAAATGAACTATGCAAATAATCGCACCCAATCTAAAAAGTAGAAAAACTGGCGGGAAATGATATATTTGGCCCTTCGTGTCAGGTATTGTTTAAATAATAATCAAGCTGAAAAAAGTGCAAAAACCAAAACCTTAAAGAAGAAAAAGTCACTTGTTATCGTTCGCCTATCACAAAAACATGAGCTGAAATCAATTTAAAAAATCTAAGCGATCGTGGAAATGGATAAGAGTGACCCGTTACTAACATCTCAGTTGGAAATTTGTTCACACCAACTGGATTCCCTTGCTAAGCAATTCTGTGCATTTCAACACACTATTATTGATGCTTCGGTTGACCAAAATATGTTCGAAGAATTAATGTATTGATTCTTCAGTTACCAATATAGTGGAGACGATTAATTTTACAATAAATTTAGTTTTAACGCCAACTACTTCTACAAATAGTATAGTCACACATAAAACGCCTCAATCACAACACATCACTTATTTACAGAATTTCGATTTTCCTTAATTTGAGTATAATGTTGATAAATGACAATTATTCTATTTAAGTATTCTATTTCCGCAATAAATGTTAATAAAATCAAGAAATGTCATCTATTGTTATCATGTCTATCTGGTCCGACGTTAAACACAATAATATCTTTCGCAAGCTCTACCGATAAATATAATGGCATACGGAGTGCTCTTATAGAGCAATATGAAAATCAATGACTCTTAGCGTCAATACATATACATTAGGGTGGTCCTTAGTTATAGAATAAAAAATTTTTTTTAAGAAATTCAGAGTCATGGGCTCAAAATTTCGTTAGGTTCACTGAAAAAATGAAACTGGTAAAATTTGAGTACAATAAGTCAACCCCTTCACGTGCCTCAAAGGGGTTGAAGTTCTT